AGAGAGAGAGAGAGAGAGAGAGAGAGAGAGAGAGAGAGAGAGAGAGAGAGAGAGAGAGAGAGAGAGAGAGAGAGAGAGAGAGAGAGAGCGGGAGCTCCTAATGGGGCGATTGGCATGACTTGTTGATCATAAAACAGAGTGAACAATTGGTGACCATCAGAACGGAGCAAACATGATGAAGAGTGCAGACCACGCAGACCACGCTGGCTGCATGATATAAAAGCACGATCAACAATCCCTATGACTGTAAGAGCAAACTCGCCCCAGACGAAGATTTGATCTAGTAGACTAGTACCAAAGGGGATCTGTTTGCAGTTGGGAGGGGGGAGGGGTCTAGCTTGCTCTGCATGCATTGTTGGAGTTCCTTGTGGCATGTGCATAGATATTGTTGGAGCTCTACATGATCTGTTTGCAGTTGGGACGGGTCTAGGCGGGCTTTCCAAGTGAATACTGGCTACAAATGCAACAAATCCAGCGGCATTCTCACCACCACCACGGTACCACCTAATATACTGTCTAGATGTCCTGCGAATGCAGCCGGATTTTTAGCCTCGCCCAGTCTTCACTTCAATCACTTGGAATGGTCAGAGACTCAGAGTATATTTACTAGGTGAGATGGGGGCAGCCACACATTGACCGAGGGCCCCTCAGGGCCCTCACCCTGACTTTCCGAGGCAAGAAACGCAACTGAGGACATTGATGAATTTTATCGAACCCCCCCCCCCCCATCCTTTCCCCTTCCCCCCCCCCCCCCTCCCCCGGCCCAGCTTGGGATGCTACAGCCTACAGTTGCTTTTTCTGCAAGGCTGGGGCCATGTGTACTGGCTGTTTATCATGCAGACTCCCTCTGTGGGTCCACCGGTCCGAGGTGGGAATCCAGTCTTCGGAACTGAGGCAGGCTCCACGGTCAATGCAATTTGCCGTATATCCAGTGCGGGCCTCCCTGCAGGGCCTGCACTACTCTCCAGAGTCTCCACAGGCTGTGACAGGCACAAAGGACAAAAAATCCAAGTGAATAATGGCTACAAATCCGGCAGCAGGACAACGGATTTTAAATGGGTTTCGAATTTTGGCAGCAAAAGTGTTGCCCGTTCGAAGTTTCCTTTGCAAAAATAGAGGTTTGATCCGCCATGATCAAGTAGTGGGAGGGCCTCTGCATTAAGCGCCCACAGAGAAGATAAACCTGGAAGGTTGATGCAATCTGAAATCGGATAAACAGACACAGCAGATATAGATAAATCTGTGCTTTATTCGATGGTGTTGTTATTATGGTAGCCAGGAAGAATTTTCTTATAGCATTCCTTGACTGCGTATGCAGTCCCTCTTAATGGTGCTTCAAGTTTTAATTTTTGGAAAGTCTGTTGTTTTAGAATGGGACGCTGGACCCCGTTTCCAGTAAGATAGATGTTATGAATGTTGAGTACCCGTGGTTCATCGAGCTCTGCTCGTAAGAGAAACTGGCTGATGCTGCCAGCAGGATAACTCCGGGTTGAATTGTGAGGTCCCGCCCCATTTTGTGCAATATACTTGAAGCTTTCCAAAAAAAAGAAAAAAAAAGAAAAAATAGAGGTTTGGTTGCAGCTTTATCGCGTTCGCATAGTTTGCCAGCGAAAATACCTTGTTTTGCCCAGTTTCACAGCAAAGGACCCCTAGGCCTCTGGCCTCAGGGACTCAGGGACTCAGCGTTCTGGCCTGAGGCACTCCGCGTTGTTGTTGTTTTTTTCCTTTTTTCTGGGGCATGGCCGACGCATCTGGGCGTGCCCACGGCCGAGATGCCTCTACCATGGCCGCGAAAAAAAAAACTCGGCCATGCCCGTGGGCAAAAAAAAAAAAAAAAAAAAAAAAAAAAAAAGCCCCGNATATATATATATATATATATATATATATATATATATATATATATATATATATATATATATATATATATATATATATATATTACCCATTATTTAATTTAGGAAAAATGCAGCAAATTCGCGTCCGCAGCGCGAACGAGGTCGGCCGCGGACGCGGTCGTATGTACGACCGCCCTCCGAGGTCGATTCCGCGGATGCGTCCGCGAGTGTTTCGTAGCCGACGGATGACGAGGTCGCGGTGGGGGACATCCTTGCGTATGTTACCAAGGTGGCCCGCGAGTTTCACAATCAGCGGTACGGCGACAACAACGCACCGCTCCTCTATGTCCGCATCCAAGTTGGGCAAGCGTCTTGCAGCGCTTTGCTGGATAGCGGAGCGTCTCGCAATTTTATGAGCCAAGCCTCTATGCAAAGGGCTGGTCTTGGTACACAAGTTTGAAGGAAGGCAAACCCGACGGCGATCAAATTGGCGGACGGAAGGACGCAACAACTTATCGACCTCTACATCGAGGCCGTACCGGTGTATTTCGCACCTCATGCATGCGAACCAATGACGTTCGACATTTTGGACACGGACTTCGACATCATTCTGGGAATGCCTTGGCTTGCAAGTGCGGATCACACGGTTAACTTTCACCGGCGGACTCTTACTGTTCGCGACGCCTTCGCCGCCGGAGTGTCATGTACTATTCCTCTTCCGCACCCCTCGATTCGGTGCCAAGTGGTGACGGCCAGATCGTTCCGGGCAACTTGCGCTTACGAGCTGCCCCGGGAAATCGGCCTATGTTTCCTATGCATCATTGCGGTAGCCGACTCTTCACCAACGGACTTGTCTTCGGACCCCCAGGTGGTGCGATTGCTGGACGAGTTCGTGGACATCTTCGAGTCACCTACCAGTGTCACGACGATGTGGTGCCAGATCGGCCGATCTCTCACGAGATCATTCTTGAGGACGGTGTCGTGCCGCTGAAAGGTTGCATCTATCGGATGAGTGAGGAGGATCTTGAGGTCCTCCGCGCACAACTCGACGACTTGTTGGCCAAGGGCTGGATCCGCCCTAGTAGCTCCCCATATGGAGCGCCAGTTCTCTTCGTACGGAAGAAGAATAAAGATCTACGATTATGCATCGACTACCGCAAACTCAATGCGCAAACCGTCAAGAATGCGGGTCCTCTTCCTTGCATCGACGATCTTCTGGAGCGATTGGGCGACACGAAGTATTTTTCTACGTTGGATTTGAAGTCGGGATATCATCAAGTCTCGATCCGACCGAACGATCGTTACAAATCTGCGTTCAAGATGCGGTATGGGCATTTTGAGTGGGTGGTCATGCCTTTTGGCCTCACCAACGCCCCGACGACCTTTCAAGCGGCAATGACCAACGAGTTCCGTGCAATGTTGGACCGGTTCGTGCTGGTCTACTTAGACGATATTCTCGTGGAGGATCATCTTGGGCATCTTCGACGAGTGTTGGAGACGCTCCGCTGCGCCAAGTACAAGGCAACCCGAGACAAGTGCAAATTTTTCCGGCAAGAGCTGGAATACTTGGCCCATTTTGTCATCAGTCCGCTATCGGACAAGATTCAGGCCATCCAAGAGTGGCCAGAGCCTCGGAACGTCACGGATGTCCGTTCGTTCCTTGGCCTTGCCGGCTACTACCAGCGTTTTATCAAAGGCTACTCGAAGATCACGACCCACTTGACCAAGCTTCAATGCGAGGATCGGCCGTTTGACTTCGGAGAGGAGGCGCGAGAATAATTTTTGGCTCTCAAAGCCGCGCTATTATCTGCGGAGGTCTTGCGGATATATGACCCGTTTTTGCCTACGCACGTCACTACGGATGCGTCAGGCTATGACATTGGTGCAGTCCTCGAGCAACATGATGGTGTGGACTGGCACCCGGTCGAGTATTTTAGCAAGAAAGTGCCCCTCGTGCATTCCATTGACGATGCACGCAAGAAGGAGCTCCTCGCTTTCGTCCACGCGCTCAAGCGGTGGCGGCACTTCCTCCTTGGTCGAAGCCAATCCCGATGGGTAAAGGACAACAATCCGTTGGTCTTTTACAAGACCCAAGACACCGTCAACAGCAACATGGCTCGATGGATGGCTTTCATCGACCAGTTTGACTTCTTTCCCGATCACATTCCGGGAAAGTCGAACCGTTTTGTGGATGCTCTCTCACGACGTCCCGATCATTGTACCGCGGTCTACTCAACCTTCGAGATCGATCACGACCTGCGGGACAACTTTATCCGCGGCTACCAAGCCCACCCCGAGTTCCGCGACACGTACTCGAATTGCTTCTTTCCTAATCCGGCGCCTTCTCACTACCAGATCCAAGAGGGGTACTTGCTTGTCCACACACGGGGGAAGGACCTTCTTTGCGTACCAAGTGACCTTCACCTGCGTACACGACTTCTTGGCGAGTTCCACGATGTTCCCGCCACCGGACACGTTGGAGTCAATCGCACGATTAGCCGACTTCGCGAGCGATTTTGGTGGCCCGGCCTTCTCGGCGACGTCACATGCTATTGCGAGTCATGCGAAGTTTGCCGACGCTGCAAATCCCGCAACCATCGTTCATACGGCGAGTTGCGACCATTACCAGTCCCCTTGCGGCGAAGGGAAGCGATTGCCATGAACACTACTGGCCCGTTCCCCAAGCACAAGACCAGCGTGGATGACATTCTCACGGTGGTCAACCGACTCACCAAGTTCGCCATGTTTTTGCCTTGTCGCTATTATGCCAAGGCACCGGAGTTGGCCGAGGTTCTTTACGCCGGTTGGATTCGAACCAAGGGTTACCCCAAGGAAATCGTCTGCGACCGCGACACTCGGTTCATGTCCAATTTTTGGTTGGCGCTCATCAAGCGATGGGGCTCATCTCTCAAGCCCAGTTCAGCTCGCCACCCCCAGACCGATGACCAAACGGAAAGGGCGCACCAGACCGCACAGGTTCTCCTTCGCATTCTCATCCGTCCTGACCAGAAGGATTGGGTTGAGCGGTTGCCGGATGTCGAGTTGGCCTACAACTCCTCCATCCACCCGGCTATTGGGATGTCGCCTTTCGAATTCGAGCACGACTCCCCAGTCACTTCGCCGTTGGACACAATCATTCCATGAACGGCCGAGAGCGACGACCATCTTCTTTTCTTGCTTCGGATGCAAAAGCTACTTGTCAAGGCACGCGACCAAATGGCCAAGACGCAGCAGAGCATGAGCCAACAGGCCAATCGTGAGCTTCTTCCTTGCCCATTCCACGCCGGAGATCTCGTTTGGGTTCCCGCCGCGGAATTTAGCCTTGAACAAGATATCTCTCGCAAGCTCCTCCCAAAATGGATGGGGCCCTGGCCGATCGTGGCGGCCGCTGGGGATGCACCCGAGGGACCTTCCTTCACTATTCAGTTGCCCGCCCACTTGCCCGTCTACCCAGTCTTTCATTGTTCCAAGTTGGCTCTTTACACGCCAGCGGATCATGACGATTTTCCCGGGCGACGTCCGCAAGACCCACCCTCTATGGACGTTTTTCAGGAGGTCGGCGACATCATCTCCCAGCGACGCTACGGCAACAGGCCAACTGAGTACTTGGTACATTTTGCATACTGCACACACCGAGCTGACTGTTGGTTGACCCGTGCGGAACTTCAAGCAACAGCTCCAGTCGTTCTCGCACGCTACGAACGCAAGATGCAAGGCAAGCCGGTCTCTTCAGCTCCACGCCGCACCCGCGTCCAAGTTCCACCTTCAGATCGTCAGCTTCGCCCTCGCCCCGGCTTGACTTCATAAGGAGGGGGGGTGTTACATGCTGCGCCTGCACACGAGGGCCATTTTCCAGGCCCTACGTCCTTCAGGCTAAAAACCTGAATATCAGGCCGAAAGCCTGAAATTTAGGGCCCACAGTACAGGCCCCGTGTCTGTTCAACTCGAAGAGCTGGAAACAGGGGCCTACAGGCCCTGTGTCGTTTCAGACTTAAAACGGCATGAGCCTTTTTAGCCTGGAACTGAGGGCCATTTTTGGGCCCTCATCAGACCGACCTGCCCCGAAACTCAGGCACCAAACCAGGGTTTTAGGAACAGGCTATTTTTGGCCTGTTCCCACGACAGCTGCTGCGCCAGCCCCTGGCTCAGCTTGGCATTGGCAAGAGCAGCCTCCTGGACTGCGGCCCCTGCAACTGCAGGCAGTCGGAGGCAGTCAGGAGGCAGGCTGAGGTAGTACATAGGGACTTCCCATGCACTTCACGGGTAGGCAGGAGGCAGTCAGTAGTCTTCAGGATTCGGCAGCAGCACTCTGGAGGAGCGCTGCGGGAGTAGTGGTAGCGTTAGTATTAGTCTTCAGCGCTGGGCGCTAGTAGCATTAGCTGTAGTCTTCAGCGCTGGGCGCCATAGCAGCTAGAGTAGTACTAGAAAGAGAGAGATTGGGCGGAGGCCAGGTGGTCTTACCTGCAGCGCCGTTGCTCCACCTTCGTCTTCAGGGTACCTGCAGCACAGCACCAACTTCACAGGTTAGTACCTGGCTCGTGAGAGAGAGAGAGTTCTTCTTCTTCCGCTTCTCAGTCCACCATCTCCTTCTCACCCTCTCGCTATCTGACTTCACTGCATCAGCAGACTAAGAGAGAGAGAGAGAGAGAGAGAGAGAGAG